GCTATGTGAAATTCAATGGAAACGTCAGCCCAACTCATATCATTGTGGGAAAATTCTAATACCAGTCCTTTATCACCTTAGACGAAAAAGGGTGAATACATCTCAAAACTAGTTTAGGCGAGGTTTAAACTGTAGTCCGGATCAGCCTGGTTGAGAATATTTTTTGGATGTCAATGCCTACTCCTGTGATTGTGGTGTAATTAACTATCAAACTATCATCATCTCAAGTTAACTTGGGTTATTACATTTTTGATACTTATTCCCAGTTAGCGTAAATCTTAATGCTACCAGTAGCATAATTAATTAGAACTGTATTTGCCCAGGTATCAAAGGATGATGGAAGAGTGATAATTGTGGAAAGCTTCAACTCCAAGTCCTTCATCACCTTATGCGACCTGGGATAAATGCAGCACTACCTCACAATTATATTCATTCAATATGGATATAATTGATATAGTCTATTGTAATGGCAAACACAAGAACTGTATCCACACTATTCCGTTTAAATTGACGAAGCAGTAATAGTTGAATTTTCCCACAATCATATGAGTAAGCCTCATGTTTCCGGCCTGAAATTCAATTGAAACATAAGGCCTACTCATATGATTGTGGGGAAAATTCAGCTACCATCCTTCATCACCTTAAGCGAAATAGGGTAATCACATTTCTTTTCTAACATCTACTGGTGGTCTCGAGACTATTTAAAAATCAAAATGATAATCACAAGTTTGCTTCTTCGACAATTCTACTATCAAATGTGCTTTCAAGAGGCTTGGCTTACCCTGGAAGTCACCAATCTCCTGTGACCCCTGGCACCCTCGGTAGATTGATGCAGTGCTAACATGTCGAAAGTTAGGAGGAAGCTACTCACTATCAATGCTGACCACGAGGCAGGTGTAACGAGTGATCATGTACTTAGTCATAGTGTGACCTTAGATTTGGTCGAGCCTCCGGTCACTTTTTAGATTTGCTTTGATATCGTGTTTACGATTTCGTCCAAGTTTCAGGAAAAGCTCTCAAACCGCACCCATTCCTGCGTTCTCTGTCATAGTAGGCATGATAATTAACAGCTTCTTACTTGCACTCGGTGCCTAGGATGGCGCTTCTCACTTACGATGCCTACTACCATATCGAATGAATGTTTAGGAATGTACCAAGTCTCATTTTCGAGGTAAGTAGAGTTTGAGACTATCACTAATTCTTGAATAAGAATTTGCTCCGCCCAAATAGTTTAAGGTGAATTAAAGATGGATATTTTAGTTTTCCAACAATAGATTGATTGGGCGTCACGAAGCTATTTGCTCTCAATGGCCTGCTGAGGTCTAATCATCTCATTATTTAACTTCTGCATTATTCAAGTTATCATTCAAGTTCTTATTGAACTTAAAATTTTGAAGCCTACTTACATCGAAGATAAGTGACTCAATTGCACAAAAAATATATATTTGCTTAGTCTGCAACCCTAATATAAGTGTGAGTTTGGCCAGGTCTTGTATGTCTTGAATGTTGCATCCCTCTTATCACGTACTATCGCCAGCGGCTGTGAAGAGTGGTTACGTAATTAGTATACTCCCCATCCTGTATCGAATCTCGCTGGATGTGCTGATGTACAGTCCAGCATAGATAAGATTAACCTTCGGGAGGCAAGGTTGAATGAAATTCAATTAAATCATGAGGCTTACTAGTATCATTGTGGAAAACCCCAATTTTCAGTCCATACATTAACTTAAGCGACCTAGCCTGACTTAGTTCTTGTTAATCTACCAAGTCACCTATCTGATGATGACTACTTTGGCAGAGGACTCAGAACTAGTTCATTTCTTCACTGTGTTCTCGTTACTGTAAACAACTTGCAAAAACGAGATCGAAACAGCTCTTAAAAGCTAAAGGTAACACGAACTTCTTTTCATGTGTTGCGTTTACCCTATTTCGTTTAAGGTGATGAAGGACTAGTAGTTGAATTTTCCCACAGTGATAAAAGTAGAGCTGACGTTTTCATTGAATGTCACATAGCCTTGCTTTCCCAAAGGATGTTCTCATCCAAACAGAAGTGGACTGCAACCTTAACCTCGCATAGGTCCTATCAGCACCCGCAATGGAGATGTCAGCTCTACTAATAATATTGGGGAAAAATTCAACTACCAGTACTTCATCACATTAAATGAAATAGGGTGAATACAACTCATATATCTGACTTACTGGTGGTCTCGAAAACCTATTATCTTCATGTCTTTCTGAGAAGAGATGTACAGCAAGGAAAGCAATTAGGTCACAAATTCAAGTGGACTTTTCAGCTATCAGCAAAAACTTTGTGATACCAGTGTTTAATTCTTAAAAAATCGAATCAATGTAACCATCATAAATATGGGCCTACGTGTGAGAGTGTCTAAAAGTGTGAATAAGTTGACAATTTCAATATTAATAACGACGATTTTAAGACAGGCCTGTGAATTCATCACATCATGGATTGATCAGAAAGTCAGTAACTTCTTATTAGTTTAATGGCAGGACAAGCTGCTTGATGCAAACGGCATTGAGGGGACGACTTCCTTTTTCCTGTGAATTTCACTGTTCTATGTAACTCAACATTTCGTTAATTATATCTCTTATAGAAGCTCTTCTGGTAGTCTTTAAACCTAATTAACACGAAAAGTGGGTATTACTCCAATCAGCCCTCTCTATGTGAAAAGAAATAATAACCTACGTAATCTTGTATTGTGAAAAGCGGCTCTGGTGTGAATGGATTACAATGCAGACACGAATTTTAAGGATAGATCAGTCACTTACTCAACATCTACTGTGGGCTTCATGGACCATGATATGAATTTCATTTGGTGTGAAAGTGTCCTGAAGTGCTTAGAACTGGGTGAAGTCCCCTCACCGACCGTAAATGAGTTCGGTGGCGGCAGTTTCCTTGCACAAATAAACGAATGTACCATCCTCTAATGCTAAATTAGGTTTAGGCTTGTGCTATTCTTTATTGTGTGTATGTAATGTTCATCTGATGGGAGGTTCATTAGCGTCGTGAGGGTAGCTCAACTATCATTCCTTCCATCAACTCCCGCGAATTTAGTTGTCTCGGGTTCTTGGTTGAGTTAAATCTGCTTTGTTTTTAATTTCATGCCTATTGTTTAACACATTGGAGCCAATGTTATTTGGTTGAGTAGTTAACGTTCGTGTCCTTGAAGACTCATGATATGTGCTTAAACTCTTTTGGAATGTTGGCACGAGGTAGCCGAGTTTGAAGCCTCTCTTCATTCTGTATGAGTAAGTACCCATCGTATATTACCAAAATGTATTTGGGCAAGCAGTTCAAAGCGTTTTGGGAAGGCAGCCTTATCTAAAAATTGTTGAGAGTATCCTAAGCATTACTCTGTTTTGATTTTAAGATTAGCCTGATCTATTCTATCTGATAATCTTAAATTACCTCTTCATGACGATGAAACGTAGTGTAGACTCTTAGAAATCTTCGGTATTCAGGATTGTTCTGAATACAATCAGATATAGGGAAAACATTACAACCAATTTTCGTTTCAACTAGGCTTCGAAACTACCAGCAGATCTTTTGTAGGAGCTGTAATCATCTTATTTCGTTTAATATGATGAAAGAATGATAGCAATTAGTTGGTGTAAATGATTATTGAATGTGAACTAGACATACCTTGTGCACACTTTCAAGCTATTATTTGCCCAACCAGGATATTGAATTTATTAGATTCAGCATGAATAATTCCTCAATAGTAACTTAATAAACCCAGGTTGCCCAATTTGATTTAAGAAATGATAATTGAATTTTTATTTTTTCCTAATATAATGCCATTTTCGCCCAAAAGGTGTTATTTTCAGGCCGGACCACAGTTTCTGTATAGCCTCACTGCCTTACAAGGCGAGGTCGAGACTGCAGTCGAACATGCGTTCGGTCGCTGCTGTTTCCTTACGAAAACTAAACTAGCTTACTATTCTCCAATGCTAATTCATGCTTGGGTTTGTATTATTGTATATGGTGTATGAAATGTCAGTGTTATGAGAGGTGTGATGGTCCGGTTCGTGACATAACATCACTCATCTGCAAGCATGTAGAGTAAGTTTTAACTGGCCAACCAAATCATGAGATGTCTCATTAAAATCGCAGGGTTAGGTGTATAAAAAAAGCGCTTCAGTCGGCCACCTTTTCTCTTGATTTAGTATATGTTTACTCTATTTCGTAAATTATGGATACTTTATCTGATGATGACCCTCACGGTGGTACAGACAAACGCTTAGCACAAGTTTATCGGGGTCGCAGAACGGTGATTCGAGGATTTCTTCGCACAATACAACAGTCTTCCCTACACGGCAATCCTCCTTCGGTTTCCTGTGAGACCACATCACAAATTCCTTTCAACCCAATTTTCCTTTGAGGCCGAAGATGATGCCACTGTAGTGTTTCACTTAACAGAAATCATTAGGGCTGGATCTAATTTTGACACAAACTTAAATTGGACACCGAGTCAAGAAATCTTCCTTCATCCCACATATGGTCATGGCAACAACTAAAACGAACTGACTAAGAAGAACTAGGATGATTTAGTGTGTATTCTACATTCCTGCATGATTTCCGTGTTTATATGGTGTTACAGACGAAAACTCAACATGTTGGTGTAACTTTTATCTCGTTGAAGAGGCAAGTGAAAGGGACTCGTAAATTGGCCTTTCCCGGAAGCCGAAAGAGGATATTCAGGGGGGCTGTGACTGTAGATTTGTGCAAATAAGTTTGCGGCACATCGTCTCGCGACCCCCATGAATCCGTCATGTGAATGACATCGTCACAACAGGGTATCATGTTTTAGGAAAATCCATCATACAAAGAGACAAGTTGTGTGCTTGGTTGATTCTCCTAAAACATGCTTTTCTATTTTGATGATATCTATTATATACATTTTCGTTAAATCTTTTTTTCAGGCAAGACAATTATAAAGTGTTGTATTCACTCTAGGCCACATGGAGTAATGAAGGACTGAGAGTTGAATTCGCCCACAGTCACAAATGTAGGCCTTATGCTTGCATCGAATTTCACATTACCTGTTTACCCATAAGGTATTCTGATGAGGGCCAAACGAGATGGAAACTGCCGTCCAGTTCAACCTGGATTAAAATTCCATTTTTTAGACAAGGCTATTGTACATTAAGAGATCATTATCTTTCTTCATTCATCTTATTGTGAAAAAAATTCGGTTATAATTTCTTCATTAGCATATTCTTATTAAAGAGCTTCTGGTAGATTTAAAAACTACTCAATTTGAATATAAGTTCTGTAGTCGGTTGTAATAGCAAATAAGAGTTTGCCTAATCGACACTCTTACTACATAGATGTGTTATGGAGTAGGCTCTGGTTCCCTTGAAATTCACGTCTGCTCTCTGCGTCGCGTGGTGATAGTATGTCGATATTATATTCTTCACTACTCTGGTTCGATTGCCGTTGGAGGTGCTGCTGAGACTCAGGCGGGGCCGAAATTATAGCTGAGCATGTATGAGAGAACCTTATGGGAAGCAAGGCTAAAGTAAATTCAATGGTATCATGACTATTCTTTGATTATGATAAAATTCAATTTTCAATTCTTTCTCCCCTCATGAGACCCAGGGTGAAAACAACCATAATTGAAGATCTACTTGTAGTTCATAAACCTACAAAACCGGACATTTAAAAAGCTTTATTGTAGGACATGTCATAAACAATTTGAAGACATTCGTGACCTGCTAAGAAGGTGTTCCTAATGATCCACCAGATTTAAGTTAAATGTGTTTAGTTCAAGACAGTTATCTTAAGGAATACATTTTTGCTTCCATCCCTAAGAATACAAAATAAGTTATCACGAGTGACACGTATGTTTTAGCTATGCCTATTATTAGTGTTTCAGCAAAGCTTCTAAAGACAGCATAAGTAGCTAAGCTCTTTATATTAAAACCTTGCAGGTTTGGTTTCAGAACGCCCGCTCTCGAGAACGCAAAGGCAACGTGGGTCAGACCTCAAGCAGTATTGCAACAAGTGACCATAGCCGTGGGAACATTTCAACTGATTCTCATGAGGCAATTAATCTATTTCGGCCAACTCCAGAACTCACAATTGGTGCCCTCAAGTTGGGTTCTAAGCTGGTGAATGCGACGTCTATAAATGGAAGACCGGAGCAAAAAGCGGCAGAAGAAGGGGTGGAGGCTGAAGAAATGGAGGAAGAGGATCAAAGAAGTGACGGTGTAGAGGAGGGGGAGATTAAAAAGGAAGGTGTTGAGGGTGCCAGTTTCCATACGAGCTCCACGCCCAGCTTCCTGCCAATGCTTCGAATTTCAGACACTTCTGGACTCTCATCTCCTTACCCGGTCCCTTGCATGGCCCCTGCCACTTCTGCTGCTGGCCCCGGGGGCCAATTTTTCCCAACTGGGCCAGATTTTACAGGAACAGGTCCTCTTATTGGCCTTCCTCGAGTCTATCCATCAAGCATCGCCGCCAGTGGTACACTCGGATACCCCCGTCTGCCACATGGGCTACCAAGCCTCCCACTTTCTCTGCCCCCATCTCAAATGCTGCCATTGCCGGACGATGTAACGCTCCTCATGCCATCCCATTCAGTAACTCGGCCATTCGATGAAACCGGAGACGTCTCACTTCCGCTGGCTGGCCAAAATCCCACTGATCCGTCTAGGCCCACTCTCGATCAACTCTCCTCGGCAGTGGATCGTTTGAAACTTCTACTTTCTGGCAAGTGTCCCTTTTGCCAAGCCTGGCAGACGAATCACACAGACAAACTCTCCAGGTTTCAAACACATCTTTTGGAAGAGCATGGGAATGAGCCACTTCTGTCGGCTTTTCTGGCTGCCCTACTCGCCTGTCCACCTGATCTTCCAGCAGCGGCATTCCAGCTTGAAGAAGCATCGCCTCTGGTCTGCGGCTCTTTCGATGCTCCATCTTTTGGTGGATTGCAGCGAAATATAATTACAGATACCAATCAAGGCACTTTAAGCGTAAACTGCGATCACAGCTTAGCCGGTACCAAAGAGTGTGCACTTTTGCTTGGCGATGCGCCGCTTGACCTCAGTGCTGCGAAACCGGTCTCAGCTCAGACTATTTCGTTCCCTCTGCCATCCGGTCTTTCCATGCCAGGGCTCCTGGGAGCAACTTATCTGCGAACTTCCGAACCAACAGTAGCTCCATACTCTAACTCGCCTAACCCATCTCAACTTCAGCCACAACCCGTCCTGGTAAATCCGTTAAGCCTCGGCTTCCCCGGGCTTGTTGCCCCCGGCGATTTACAGCCTAGAGCCAATATTTCGTACATTTCTGCATCACCCATCTGTCCTGTCTCGGTTTCCGGAATGCCACAAGTCCTCCCGATTCCCAAGGTCTCTTCTTCCTCACTCACTACCTCGGCTACCCTGACTTCTTGCTCTGCATCCTCATCTGCTACTCCTGCAGCGCCTATCTCAGCGCCTCTATTATCCTCCTCCTCGTCTTCTTCTTCATCATCTTCCTCCTCTTCTTCCTTTTGCCTTGCTCGTGTCGGCCTTTCTCCCTCCTGCCTAGTCGGCCTCCAATCGAACCCACCGGGACTGTTGAGTGGGACTAGTCCAGGCCAGGGGCAAGGAAGTCAGTCACGGCGAAACCGGACAAGCATCAGCGCCTTCCAAGCGCGCTTTATGCATGCTATCTATCTGCACCACAGAACGCCATCTGTACATGAGTGCGACCGTTTAGGAGAAGCTATTCGCCTTACGCGTCGAGTTGTGCAGGTCTGGTTTCAGAAT